GGGAGGGAGGGAGGGAGGGAGGGAGGGAGGGAGGGAGGGAGGGAGGGAGGGAGGGAGGTGTTCGCGCGTGGGCCGCCGGCTTCATCTACGCCGACCTCGTGCTGCTCTGTGTGTTTGCTGCAGAGCACGCCGTGCGTCTCTATGCGTACGGCTCAGCGCACCTCCGCTCGCCGACCAATCTGTTTGACATCTCTGTCGTCCTCGTTTCGCTCGCGTTTCAGCTCCACTACGTCGCCAGTGGAGCCGGGGAGGAACTTTCATTCCTCGGTGTGCTGCGGCTTGTGCGGCTTGTGCGAATCGTCGCAGTGATGCGGAAGATCCAGGAGCAACGGGATGCCGCCAAGGCTGCACGTCAGCTCAAGCTCGGCAGTCCAGTGGAGAGGGTGCTCGAGCTGCTGAACGAGATGAAGGACAAAGTGGCGAGCCGGCCGGGCAGCGAGGCACTGGTCAGGGACATCGAAGGCGTGCTCGAGCTGATTGTGTCGGAGAAGCTGTACAAGATCGATCTGAGCGAGGTGCACGGCGGTAAGGTCGGCCGCGAGATGAATGCCTTTCTCGACACCATGGGCATGCAGGGCAGCAGCGAGCCGTCACAAGGCCACGGCCGCAGCTCTGTGTGTCAGGCTCAAGGCCGCCGGTCGGTAATGCAGTTGACAGCCGAGCGGCGGGCGTCGAGGGGCGAGCTGGGAGGCGAACGCAAGTCGAGTGGCTCACCGCGGGCGGAGAGCTACGCAGAGCTCTCCCGAGTCGAGAGCATACTTCGCGAGCCAGCGGTGTGCGAGGCGCTCGCTCAGATCCACGACTGGGGCGTCGACGTATTCGCGTTTCACGAGGCCGCGTGCGGATCCGGTCTTGTCGTGGCGGCGGTTCACTTGCTCGAATACCATGGGCTCGTGAACGAGCTCGACCTGGACCTGCCGCGGATGGCCGCCTACTTTCGGCGGATCCAAGACGGATACAAGGATAACCCGTATCACTCCTGTGTCCACGCGCTTGATGTGATGCTCAACACCTCGTACTTCATCAGGCAGGAGGCCATCGCTCAGCTGCTGACACCGCTCGACCAACTTGCTGCTCTCCTTGCCGCCGCCATCCACGACCACGAGCATCCGGGTGTCAACAACAACTTCCTCGTCGCGACTCGCCACGAGTGGGCCATCCGCTACAACGACCAGTCGGTGCTCGAGGCGCACCATGTTGCGTCGTCGTGGGCGCTGCTGATGCGCGACGAGTACAACTTCGTCGCCGCGCTGCCGCGGGAGCAGCTTCTTAGCCTCCGCGAACTTGTGCTGCAGCTCGTTCTCGCCACAGACATGAGGCACCATTTCGAGCACACTGCGCGGCTCTGCGCGAAGTGCAGCGCGGACGCGCTCTCGCCCACTTCGAGGGAGGATGGCATGGTGCCGCGCGAGGACGTCCGGTTCCTTCTCTGCGTGGTAGTCCACGCCGCGGACATCTCCAACGGACTCAAGCCTCAGGCGCTCTCGCTCCGCTGGGCGCTCGCTGTGATGGAGGAGTTCTTCCGGCAAGGCGACCTCGAGGCGACGCTTGGCCTGCCGATCTCGCCCTTTTACGACCGCGCGACGACCTCGATCGCGGCCGCTCAAATCGGGTTTCTAAACGTCGTCGTCCGGCCGTACTTTGAGCCCCTTTGCGCCTTCCTCGGCCCCGCCGTGACGGCGGAGGTCTTCCACCACCTCGTCGAGAACGTGCGCGTCTGGGAGGAGCAGGGCAACGCGCTGATCTCCACCTCCACACGCAAAGTTGGAGGAGGAGGGCCGATAGCTCGATAAAATTAATTTTTTCGGGGAGTTTTCGATGCAATAACTTTCAGCCGCCCTCTCGGCTTCTTCATGGCTAATTGAGGAGGTCGAAGTCTCGTTGCCGCCCTTCAGCGGCACTTTGCCCATGCAAGCGGGCACCCTGGGCATTCCGCCAGCAGCGAGCGGCGACGTTCACCCCGCCCTCGCGCGAGCCCGCGCCGCCGCCTTGCCCGCGAGGTCTCTTTCAGGTTCCCCTCGCTGCCGGCTGGCCGACGAGGAGGTGGCCGTCCGGACGTCACTCTCCTTCAGGGCCGCTAAACTGCAGCGGGACGATGCTTGGTGCTCCATCAACGGCTGGGGCGAAGGCATCATCCTTCAGTCCGAGCCCGTCCATCCGGGGCGGTATGAGGTCCGCATCACCCTGAAGACAAAGGAAGGTGAGAAGCCGTTCCTACTCCGATGCATGAGTCGCGCCGCTTTCAACAACCTCATAACGGTGACGCCAACGATGGCGTATGTGACGGCATGATGAGCTTGATTGAAGTAGCGTCTCCAGCTGATGGGTAGAGACGGCCCTGAAACAGCCCGCGGTTCGCAGGTTGGTCGTTGCTGATAGCCGATCAGTTTGCAGGCCAATTTGCACCTCGCTCCGAGGATTGGTTTGGGGCAGGCCTACGTATTGTACCTTTTGTGCAAGACTGCTATCTAACATGCCGCAGCGCTTTACTGCCTTCTCCACTGCGCAGTGGAAAGCCCAAATGGGTGGCCCTGCCAGAACGCAAAACGCGAGCCGTCCCGACCGGTAAAGTATTACGAAGCCAGGCGGCGCGCGGCCTGGTCCACGGCAGCCACCCTGCTCGACCCAGGGACTGGCAGAATCCAGATACCGGGATCAATAGAGTCGCTCGGACATCGGGTGAGACCCGGGGTCTATTTAATTATAGTTTCACACCAATCACCAAAAGACGTGCGGGGCGGCAGGGGCCGGCAGGGCCAGGGGCCCTGCCGCGCAGCGGGGGGAGCGGGTGGGAGCGGGCGGGGACACATGTCCCTAAATCCCATCTCGTCTCAGAGTTTGACCGTTTTATTTATTTTTACCCATCTCACAGTACAGTTTTTTTTATTTACGAGCTCGTATGCCACGTCGCCGCCTGTGTTTGGGTTTCTAACGTATGGGTCTTGCGATTTGGAATTTGGTATTTGTCTAGTTCTTTGTTTTATTTATTTATTAGCTAGACTTCGATGTTAATAACAAGCGAAGGCACACACAACATGACGCCAAACACACGATTGCACGCACCGCACCGCACACCTCGCACCCCGCGCCCGCCGCCCCCCCGACCCCCGCCCCGCCCCTAGGTGGGAAAGAGACGAGGAGATGGAACAGCCCGAGGAAAGGAGGAGACAAACACGTATGGGAGGTTTCGTTGTGCACCACGCTGCCCGGCGTTTCCCGTTTCTCACTTTCCGGGACAGAGCCCCGCCCTTGTTAATTAGGTATAGAGCAGAGGCGGGTGTCCCCCTCAACTGCACGAGAAAAAACAGCACGTCTGTATTATCTTCTCTTTGCGAGGGCGATAGGATCGCCACACACACCGCTGATCTGCAGAGCGGACGGGTGAGAAAAGAGATGGAGAGGGACGAGAGGTCGCCGTAAACCCCGGTCCCGGTGTAGTGGCGTGCCAGGACGGTAAGAGAAGCGTCATGCGAGGGGCCCGGTCCCCCGGCCCGGTGGCGACAGCGGCGCCACGGCCTCGGCGCGGCGTCGGCCGGAGCCGCCGGAGGATGGACGGGCGCAGGAGGGGAGCAGGGGCCAGGCGGGCGCGCCGAATGTCGTCAGAGAGAACGACCACTCCGATCGGCCGGCTCCGCATCCCCCCCCCAACGCTCCCCTCCCGCCCGCCGCGCGCTCACTCTCCGCTCGGCGGCGGGGGAGGCTCGTCGCCGCTGCCGCCGCCGAAGGCCGGCGCGTGCGGGAACCGCGCCACCGCCTTTTGTCGGAAGGCGGCGGCGGCAGCGGCGTCCGCGAGCGCGCCTCCGGGCTCGAGGAGGGCGAGGGCCTCCTTGCACACCGCTAGGCTGGCCTGCTGGAGGTCGGGGATCGAGTCAGGGCCAGGGCCAGGGCTAGGGCCAGGGCTAGGGCCAGGGCTAGGGCCAGGGCCAGGGCTAGGGCTTAGGGCTAGGGCTAGGGCTAGGGCCAGGGCTAGGGCTAGGGCCAGGGCTAGGGCCAGGGCTAGGGCTAGGGCTAGGGCTAGGGCTAGGGCCAGGGCTAGGGCCAGGGCTAGGGCTAGGGCCAGGGCCAGGGCTAGGGCCAGGGCCAGGGCTAGGGCTAGGGCCAGGGCTAGGGCCAGGGCTAGGGCTAGGGCTAGGGCCAGGGCCAGGGCTAGGAAGCCTGCTGCAGGTCGAGACTCGCCAGCGCCTCGCGAGCCGCGGCCGCCTGCGCGGGGGCGACGAGCGCGCGCACCTCGGCGTGGGCGACTGCCGCCGCAGCCGCGCCGCCCCCCGCGCGCGCGAGGAAGGCGTCGTTGTACGCCTCGGCCGTCGCCCCGGTCGGCAGTCCCGCCGCCGCCAGAATCTGCGCGCTGTGCCGCTCCACCACCGTCGCTACCGCAGGCGCCAGCGCCGCGCCGCCCGCGCGGTACAGGTGGAGGAAGCGGGCGGCGCTGCGGTGTACCTGCGCGTCCGCGGCGCCGAGCGAGAGCGCCTGTCGCAGCAGTCGGGCAGACTCACCTCCACTCGAGGTCCCCCCCCCTCTCATCGACCACCTCGGTGCACTCTTGAAGCGGCCGCATCTCACGGAAGGAAACGTCAGGGAAACGTCAGACTCCCGCCCCCCCCCCCTTCCCGCGCCCCCCAATTAGCGCCTTTCGCAGCGCGCGCAACGCGAGCAGCGGCTTTGAGCGCGCCATGGCCAGCTGACAGGCGAGCACCTGCACGCGCAGCTCTGAATTCGCTCACTCATTTCTGAACGAGAACTAAGAGGTCACATGGCCAGCTGACAGGCGAGCACCTGCACGCGCAGCTCCGCCGGCGCGTGGAGCAGCAGCGTCCGCATGTAGCCCGCCGCCTAGTCCATGCATGCATCCACGGGTCCACTGCCGGCGCGTGGGGCAGCAGCGGGACCGCGCCCCCAGCCCGCGCCTTGGCCAGCGGCGCCTCGACCGACGCGAGCGCCTCGCCGTAGGGGTCGTCGTCGGGCGGCTTCTCCTTGCCGCCCCCCTTCTTGCCGCCCTTGCCGTCCTTGCCCTTGGCGTCCGCGTCGCGCTTCGCCTGCGCCTCCGCCTCCGCCTTCGCCTTTGCCTCCGCCTTGCGCCGCTTGGACTCGGCCTTCTTCCGCTCCTGCACGAGCGGAGAAGCGAACCACTGACGGACTGCCACTTGTCAGTCACCTCGGCCTTCTTCCGCTCTGCACGCTGAGATCACCCGAGATGGCCCGAGATGGCCCGAGATGGCCCGAGATGGCCCGAGATTGCCCGAGATGGCCCGAGCTGGCCCGAGCTCTTCTGCACGCTCCTGCACGCTCAGCCCGCCGCCGGCTTCCTCCGCGGCGGCGGCCGCCGCGTCGCGCGCCGGCTTGGCCACGATGCGGAGGTAGGTGTCGACGATGCCTGTTCACAGCTGCGCGTGTGAACAGCTGCCCAACAGTCGCGGGTGCGGAGGTAGGTGTCGACGATGCCTGTTCACAGCTGCGCGTGTGAACAGCTGCCCAACGGTCGCGGGTGCGGAGGTAGGTGTCGATGATGCCGCACGCGGCGGTCACGTAGAAGGCGTGGCCGTGCAGCGTGTCCTCGAAGCGGACCATCTTGACGTACCTGTTCACAGCTGCAGGTGTGAGGAGACGCTGTTCACAGCTGTCGCGGAGGACCCGGCCCCGCACCTGTTCACAGCTGCAGGTGTGAAGAGGCGCTCCTCACGGCGGCCAGCTGGCGAGGGGGCGCTCTCGACGGACTCGCGGAGGGTCATCTTGCGCACGCAGTAGGTGTGGAAGTCGAACTGGTCCTCGCCAATGTCTGCAAAGTGCTGCTCCACGTGCGCGAAATTCTTGAGCGCGCGGCCGTAGTCGCCCGTGCGCAGGTAGGACGCCGCCAGCTCGAGCTCAAACCAGACGCACCTAAGACAAGAGGAGTCCCTCAAGGCACGGGACGACGCCGCCAGCCTCGAGCTCAAACCAGACGCACTGCATCTCGTGGAGGGCCATTAATTAATTAACTACTTACTTAATTACTGAATTATTGACGCACTGCATCTCGTGGAGGGTCGAGCCGCCGTCCTTGGTGAAGAGGGCGATCGTCGCCTGTGGACAAGGAGGACGGCCTGCCGCGGCGCGGTGTGAAGCGAGACCCTGCGTCGGGAAGGGCGGTCCTCGCCTCCGCCTCGGGGACGCAGTCCGCGCGCAGCAGGTAGCGCGTCGCCTTTGGCGTTGAGGTACCGGTCGGCGAGGCCATTCATTAATGAACTACTTACTTTTAATTGACTTTAGTTAAGTCGCCTTTGGCGTTGAGGTACCGGTCGGCGAGGTCATTCATTCATTCATTACTTAAAGAATTTAATTAGCTTTAATTCAGTCGCCTTGGTGTTGAGGTACCGGTCGGCGAGGTCCATCTTGCGCGCCTCCTCCATCCAACGAGCAGCGGCGGAGGCGTGGCCCGCGTGCTTGTACACGCGCGCCTGGGAGCGGGCAGGGAGGAGGTCGAGGCAAGTCTGCTCTCGGCTCGATCTCGGCTCGATCTCGGCTCGATCTCGGCTCGATCTCGGCTCGATCTCGGCGCGATCTCGGCGCGATCTCGGCTCGGTCTCGGCGCGGTCTCGGCTCGATCTCGGCGCGATCTCGGCGCGATCTCGAGCACGATCTCGGGCGCATCTTGCCTTGAAGAGGTAGAGGTCGAGGCAGGTTGGCGTGTGGCCGATCGCCATGTCCAGCTGCGACAGCGCCGCCGCAGTGTCGCCGCAGCTGTCGTAGTACTGCGCCAGCAGCACGCGCGCCCACATCAGCGTCGACGGGGGCTCCTTCTCGCAAGTGTCCGGGAAGGCGCCCGTCGCCTCCAGCGCGCCCACCCACCCCGCCACGAGCTCGCCGAAGAGCACACGCGACCACGCGCCCTCGGCGCAGAGCGGCTTCAGGTCTGCGAACAGCGACGGCACGCCCTTGCGCACGTAGCTGCGCGCGTACGCGTCCAGGGCGGCGGCGAAGGCGGGCGGCGAGCGCGTGAAGTCGAGAGGCAGCCGCATGCACGCCTACCCTCTTCACACTCGGAGTCAAAACTCTCTGGAGGTGGACACACACTGGCGGCAGCCGCATGCACGCCTGGCTCTTCGGGTAGGCCTTCTGCAGCTTGCTGTACAGCGCGGCCAGCGTCGCCTCCGCCTCCGCCGTCACCTCCGCGCTCAGCCACCGCTCGGTCGGGGTCGCCGTCTGCAGCTCGGCCGCCTGAGGACGAGATCGCATCTCCTGTCAACTGGCAACGACCGCTCGGTCGGGGTCGCCGCTCTGCAGCGTGGCGGCCTGGTGGAGGTTCGAAATGGGGTGAGGAAGTCGACGATAGGAGAGGAGGCGATGGGACATCGTAGACGATATTGAGCGAGTGGTGGGAAGGGGCGTGATAAGGAGGGGCTCAAGCGAATCAGAGAGCGAGAAGATAGACTGCGCCAAGCTGCTCGCGACCAGGCTCAGGCGCAAGGGCGAGGAGGACCCCTCCTCCTCCTGCCAGCGGAGCCGCCGGGGAGGAGAGCACTACCTGGTGGGTGGACTAGTGGGTGGGCTGCCGCCTGCAGCCCCGCGTGCCACCCGAAGTGCTCCGGGTTGCGCTTCAGCAGCGCGAGGTACTCCTCGCCCGCCTCGCCGTGCCGGCCGACGGCGAGCAGCAGCGCGGCGCGCCGCTCGCGCCAGCCGGTGCGGTCCGCTACCTTCTCTTTGATTGCGTCGAGGTCGTCGAGCGCCTTGCGCGAGAGTCGGGCAGAGGTGGGCAGAGTTGGGGAGAGGTGGGGAGAGCTGGGGAGAGCTTGGGGAGAGGTGGGGAGAGGTGGGGAGAGCTGGGAAGATCTGGGGAGAGTTGGGCAGAGGTGGGGAGAGCTGGGGAGAGTTTGGGAGAGCTTGGGAGAGCTGGGGAGATCTGGGGAGATCAACCCGTATTCCCGCTTCTAGGGCCCGAGATAGGGGGGAGAGACGGGGAGATGTGGGGAGATGTGGGGAGAGAGTCCGCTTCGAGGCCTCGAGATATGGGGGAGAGACGGGGAGATATGGGGAGATACTCCGCATCTAGGGGCGAGGGCCTCAGCCTTGAGGAGAAGCTGCGAACGGTCGGCCGCTGCGGCGACGAGAACCTGCACGCAACGCCGCCGCACGGCGGGGTGGACAAGACCGTCGGGCGGGGATGCCGCTGCGCCTCCTGGCCACGCAGCGGAGGGGGCTGCTGCTACGCGGTCGGAGAGGCGCGCACACCTGCATCGAGACCGGCGAGTCGGCGCGCAGCGGCGAGGAGACGTCGAGCGCGTCGTCGAGCGCATCGAGCATCTCCGCGTAGTCGGCAACGGTGCCGCCGAGCGCCGTCAGAGCCGCCGCCGCCGCCGCCGCCGCCGCCTTCGGACTGCAGCCGCACCGCACGTAGATCGACGGGCTTGAGCCGGCGGCATGCGGCGTCGCAAGACGCGGTCCAGCCGCGCAGCGGCGATCCGTTGTCCTCGTCGGGATCGAGGAGCAGCCACGCGCTCTCCGCAGCGCCCGACACGACGCCGCGCCGTCGAGTGCAGCCGCCGGCCGCTCACCCCGCCTATGGGAAGAGGCGCGGGCGGCGTCGGTCGAGTGGGCGGTGGCACGGTGAGGGCCGGGCGATGGGCGGCAGTGCCGCAGGGCAGCGGCGGCGCTGCGCAGGCGAGCGGCGTCGGCGGGCTTCGGCGCTGTCCTCGGCGCGGCCCGAGCGGCCCGCGGCGCTGTGCGCCGAGGGACCGGCCGCGGCCGGGGCACGTGGGTCGGGGTAAAGGCGCACCCGCTTCAGCGGCGGCCGACCAGGCAGCATTTGCAGCCGGCGAGACTCGGCGAGACTCGGCTCCGAGTCGGTAAGAAGAATTCGGGATGCGGCCGCCTCTTTGATGTATGTTTTTTTCCTTTTGGGGGCATCGAAGAGGTGCGACGCGGTGCCCCTTCCCCTTTCTTCTTGGTTTCCCACACAGCTGGGCTTCGCCGGGCTTCCAGCCAGGGTACGGCGGCTCTGACTGAAAGGCGGCGCCGGCGGGCGTTCGCGCCAAAATAGATGCAAACCTACCGCGGTTGGTTTGCATCTATTTTGGCGCCGGCGGGCGTTCGCGCCAAAATAGATGCAAACCTACCGCGGTTGGTTTGCATCTTGTGAAAAAGAAACCCATAGTTGATGATGAGCCCCAAACCGGGGGGATGACGCGGAAAATAAAAGGAGCGTCGGGGAGGGGGGGGGGGGGACGACGGGAGGGGAATGAGGAGAGGGGGATGGCGCGTGGGTTTGAGCGTGCCCTACAACTGTATACGCCCAGGAATTGGGCGGGGATCCGGGGGGAACTTTCTTTTTGAAAAAGAAATACACAAGAAATACACACGCCAAGAAGAAGAAGCCCAAATCACTGTGAGAGTCGTGATTTCTTGTTGGTTAATAAAAATCTCTCTCTCTCACACGCCCGTTAAGCCAAAGGCGAGCCAACGAAGGTCCAAGCCCTCTCTCGACTGACACCGACACCTCCCGCCCCGAACCCCCCCCCCCCCCACGGAGGCGCGCACTTCTTCTTTTTGGAGTACTTCTTTTTCGCTCGTACCCCGCCCCAAAAGCGACCGCCTTTCTTTTAAACGAAATCCAAAAACCTGCCGTAATTCGTCAGGGCTCTCCAGGGCTCCCGCCCGAGATCGCATTCGAAAAGATACCGGCGGCCCGCCGAGCGACGGCGCCTCAGCGACGGACTCCCTCAAAAGAGGAGCTTCCCAGGGTCTCAAAATGTGATTATCGCGAGGCTGCCAAAAAAGCGGATAGGCGAGCCGGTCCCGCCACGCTGGACGGGCCAGCGGCTGGCACGCGCCGGCCACCTCGGCGGCGCGGCGGCCTCATCGCGCTCGTCGTCTGCGAGGCCACCGCTCGGCGTCGCTGCGTGCGTCGGCGATCGCGCTTGGCTGTGAGGTGGGACGGCGGCATGGTGCGCGCGGGCGCGGGGGTGGTGCGGGATGTGCGTGCCAGCAAGCCTAGTTTCACCTCCACTCACCCCGCAGGCGCGCCGACGTGCTGCCCGAGCGCGTTTGGGGGCAGTGCAGCAGCTCCTCGCCACACCTCTTTCCCGCCGCGCGCGAGTTGAGCTCCGATTTGCGCTCTTTTTCGCACATGCTCGACGCTATTAGGTGAGGATCGACCATCCTACGCCAGCGGGGCTTCGTCGGGCGCGTCTTCGTCGAGCGGTGGTGCATCTCCCACATGCTCCCACCCGCGCCCTCCTCGCAGCCCACCCGCGGCCGACACCGACGCCCCCCCTCACGTGCTCAGCCTAGTCGTAGGTGCGGTTTTTTTGCGTGGCCCCCGTCGGTACGGGGCGCTGGGCGATGGCTGGGCTTGTCGCCGGGCGAGCTGGCCCCTCAGTCGGCCGCGGAGCGGAGAGATGCAAAATCGAGGCGGCGCGGCCCGGCGCGCGCATGGTTCCGTAGCCCGTCTAGTGCCTCACTGACCGACTGCAGCGCCACGGTGCACGTGGCCGGTGTGGTACTGGGGCTGGGCAGCCTCGGGGCCGGCGGAGACCGTCGTCTAGCGGTCGCACTAGTCTCTTTTCGTTGTTCGACCTGTGTTCGACGGATGTTCGACCATGGTTTGACCCTTATATATTTATTCGGGTTTGGGTCTCTGAGGTCGATACTAGCGTCTGTAACCTGCCACAACAAAGCACGCTTTACAAAAGTCCTGCTGAGCGGAACGCGCAGAGCCGCCGTCCGCGCGCGCTGTGAACAGTGCCATGGTCGAACGTTGTTCGACGGGTCGAAGACGTGACGGTCCAGTAACCGACAGAGAGTTAGTTGGCGAGCGAGCAGCACAGGAAGGATGCGCGTGCAGACAGGCCAGCTGCCAGTGGGACGAACGAGGGCCGCGACGGCGGCTCAAGCGGGAGGGAGCGGAGACGGTACAGCGAGCCAAGTGGGTGAGACTAATGATGCTCCTTCGAGCTTCGACTTAGGGAGCGGTTTAGCTGCTGGGCGGGCTTCAGGCTGGTGCTCACACGAAAAGGAACCGACGCGATGTGCGAAGCATGAAGCATACAAGAAGAGGAGAAGGAGGAGGAGAGACGCCGGTGGTGACGAAGCAGAGACTCTAGCGCAGACGAGAGCAGGGCAGACCCGGGGACTGGGGAGCCGGAGCAGACGGCATCGGCCGCCGAGGCGGGAACGTTGGGAAGAGGCACGAGGAGGGCGGCGACCTCGACCGACTATGGAGGACCCGTCGCCAGACGACGCAGGGCAGAAGACGGTGAGGCGGAGCAGACGCGCAGGGCGAGACGAGGGAGGAAGCAGGACTATTTGCGGAGATCAGCAGGAGGATGTACGAAGAGATTAGGAGCAGCAGGGACCCGCACAAAGAATTTTACAACAAAACTCCCTCGCACAACACTGGGCACGGGACTGGCGCGCACTGGCACTAACACAGGTACACCACTGGAGCCACAAAAAGAACCCTGCACAAAGATCGCACGGGCGGGGACCTGCTCCTTTTTACCCAGTAGAGAGGTGTCCGTTTTTGTTTATTTATTTTATTACCAAAGACGTGCGGGGCGGCACAGGGGCCGGCAGGGCCAGGGGCCCTGCCGCGCAGCGGGGGGAGCGGGAGGGAGGGGCAGGCTGCTCACCCACGTGCACCGGGCCAGTGCTTGTGCACTTTGAATGCCGTGGGGCTCCTGCCCGTGTCCGGGTGTGGAGATGCGAGGGTCGCCCCCCCTAGTGCCCCACCACTTGTGTGTGTGGAGAAATTTACCTTACCTTACCTTAGCGGGTGGGAGCGGGCGGGGACACATGTCCCTAAATCCCATCTCGTCTCAGAGTTTGACCGTTTTATTTATTTTTACCCATCTCACAGTACAGTTTTTTTATTACGAGCTCGTATGCCACGCGTCGCCGCCTGTATTTGGGGTTCACTATTTTGCGATTTGGAATTTGGTATTTGTGTCTAGTATTTGTTTATTTATTTATTAGGTATAGAGCAGAGGCGGGTGTCCCCCCTCTAACTGCACGAGAAAAAACAGCACGTCTGTATTATCTTCTCTTTGCGAGGGCGATGGGATCGCCACACACACACCGCTGATTATGCAGAGCGGCCGGACGGGTGAGAAAAGAGATGGAGAGGGACGAGAGGTCGCCGTAAACCCCGGTCCCGGTGTAGTGGCGTGCCAGGACGGTAAGAGAGGCGTCATGCGAGGGGCCCGGTCCCCCGGCCCGGTGGCGACAGCGGCGCCACGGCCTCGGCGCGGTGTCGGCCGGAGCCGCCGGAGGATGGACGGGCGCAGGAGGGGAGCAGGGGCCAGGCGGGCGCGCCGAATGTCGTCAGAGAGAACGACCACTCCGATCGGCCGGCTCCGCATCCCCCCCCCGACGCTCCCCTCCCGCCCGCCGCGCGCTCACTCTCCGCTCGGCGGCGGGGGAGGCTCGTCGCCGCTGCCGCCGCCGAAGGCCGGCGCGTGCGGGAACCGCGCCACCGCCTTTTGTCGGAAGGCGGCGGCGGCAGCGGCGTCCGCGAGCGCGCCTCCGGGCTCGAGGAGGGCGAGGGCCTCCTTGCACACCGCTAGGCTGGCCTGCTGGAGGCCGGGGATCGAGTCAGGGCCAGGGCCAGGGCTAGGGCCAGGGCTAGGGCCAGGGCCAGGGCTAGGGCCTAGGGCTAGGGCTTAGGGCTAGGGCTAGGGCTAGGGCTAGGGCCAGGGCTAGGGCCAGGGCTAGGGCCAGGGCTAGGGCTAGGGCTAGGGCTAGGGCTAGGGCCAGGGCTAGGGCCAGGGCTAGGGCTAGGGCCAGGGCCAGGGCTAGGGCCAGGGCCAGGGCTAGGGCTAGGGCTAGGGCTAGGGCTAGGGCTAGGGCTAGGGCCAGGGCCAGGGCCAGGGCTAGGAAGCCTGCTGCAGGTCGAGACTCGCCAGCGCCTCGCGAGCCGCGGCCGCCTGCGCGGGGGCGACGAGCGCGCGCACCTCGGCGTGGGCGACTGCCGCCGCAGCCGCGCCGCCCCCCGCGCGCGCGAGGAAGGCGTCGTTGTACGCCTCGGCCGTCGCCCCGGTCGGCAGTCCCGCCGCCGCCAGAATCTGCGCGCTGTGCCGCTCCACCACCGTCGCTACCGCAGGCGCCAGCGCCGCGCCGCCCGCGCGGTACAGGTGGAGGAAGCGGGCGGCGCTGCGGTGCACCTGCGCGTCCGCGGCGCCGAGCGAGAGCGCCTGTCGCAGCAGTCGGGCAGACTCACCTCCACTCGAGGTCCCCCCCCCTCTCATCGACCACCTCGGTGCACTCTTGAAGCGGCCGCATCTCACGGAAGGAAACGTCAGGGAAACGTCAGACTCCCGCCCCCCCCCCCCTTCCCGCGCCCCCCAATTAGCGCCTTTCGCAGCGCGCGCAACGCGAGCAGCGGCTTTGAGCGCGCCATGGCCAGCTGACAGGCGAGCACCTGCACGCGCAGCTCTGAATTCGCTCACTCATTTCTGAACGAGAACTAAGAGGTCACATGGCCAGCTGACAGGCGAGCACCTGCACGCGCAGCTCCGCCGGCGCGTGGAGCAGCAGCGTCCGCATGTAGCCCGCCGCCTAGTCCATGCATGCATCCACGGGTCCACTGCCGGCGCGTGGGGCAGCGGCGGGACCGCGCCCCCAGCCCGCGCCTTGGCCAGCGGCGCCTCGACCGACGCGAGCGCCTCGCCGTAGGGGTCGTCGTCGGGCGGCTTCTCCTTGCCGCCCCCCTTCTTGCCGCCCTTGCCGTCCTTGCCCTTGGCGTCCGCGTCGCGCTTCGCCTGCGCCTCCGCCTCCGCCTTCGCCTTTGCCTCCGCCTTGCGCCGCTTGGACTCGGCCTTCTTCCGCTCCTGCACGAGTGGAGAAGCGAACCACTGACGGACTGCTACTTGTCAGTCACCCCGGCCTTCTTCCGCTCTGCACGCTGAGATCACCCGAGATGGCCCGAGATGGCCCGAGCTGGCCCGAGCTGGCCCGAGATGGCCCGAGATGGCCCGAGCTGGCCCGAGCTGGCCCGAGATTGCCCGAGATTGCCCGAGCTGGCGCGAGCTCTTCTGCACGCTCCTGCACGCTCAGCCCGCCGCCGGCTTCCTCGGCGGCGGCGGCCGCCGCGTCGCGCGCCGGCTTCGCCACGATGCGGAGGTAGGTGTCGACGATGCCTGTTCACAGCTGCGCGTGTGAACAGCTGCCCAACGGTCGCGGGTGCGGAGGTAGGTGTCGACGATGCCTGTTCACAGCTGCGCGTGTGAACAGCTGCCCAACAGTCGCGGGTGCGGAGGTAGGTGTCGATGATGCCGCACGCGGCGGTCACGTAGAAGGCGTGGCCGTGCAGCGTGTCCTCGAAGCGGACCATCTTGACGTACCTGTTCACAGCTGCAGGTGTGAAGAGGCGCTGTTCACAGCTGTCGCGGAGGACCCGGCCCCGCACCTGTTCACAGCTGCAGGTGTGAAGAGGCGCTCCTCACGGCGGCCAGCTGGCGAGGGGGTGCTCTCGACGGACTCGCGGAGGGTCATCTTGCGCACGCAGTAGGTGTGGAAGTCGAACTGGTCCTCGCCAATGTCTGCAAAGTGCTGCTCCACGTGCGCGAAGTTCTTGAGCGCGCGGCCGTAGTCGCCCGTGCGCAGGTAGGACGCCGCCAGCTCGAGCTCAAACCAGACGCACCTAAGACAAGAGGAGTCCCTCAAGGCACGGGACGACGCCGCCAGCCTCGAGCTCAAACCAGACGCACTGCATCTCGTGGAGGGCCATTAATTAAATAATTAATTACTTAATTACTGAATTAACAGACGCACTGCATCTCGTGGAGGGTCGAGCCGCCGTCCTTGGTGAAGAGGGCGATCGTCGCCTGTGGACAAGGAGGACGGCCTGCCGCGGCGCGGTGTGAAGCGAAACCCTGCGTCGGGAAGGGCGGTCCTCGCCTCCGCCTCGGGGACGCGGTCCGCGCGCAGCAGGTAGCGCGTCGCCTTTGGTGTGGAGGTACCGGTCGGCAAGGCCATTCATTAAGTAACTACTTCGCGTTAATTAACTTTAATGAAGTCGCCTTGGTGTTGAGGTACCGGTCGGCGAGGTCCATCTTGCGCGCCTCCTCCATCCAACGAGCAGCGGCGGAGGCGTGGCCCGCGTGCTTGTACACGCGCGCCTGGGAGCGGGCAGGGAGGAGGTCGAGGCAAGTCTGCTCTCGGCGCGATCTCGGCTCGATCTCGGCTCGATCTCGGCGCGATCTCGGCGCGATCTCGGCTCGATCTCGGCGCGATCTCGGCGCGATCTCGGCGCGATCTCGGCGCGATCTCGGCGCGATCTCGGCGCGATCTCGGCTCATTCTCGGCTCGATCTCGGCTCGATCTCGGCGCGGTCTCGGCTCGATCTCGGCTCGGTCTCGGCTCGATCTCGGCTCGATCTCGGCGCGATCTCGGCTCGATCTCGAGCACGATCTCGGGCGCATCTTGCCTTGAAGAGGTAGAGGTCGAGGCAGGTTGGCGTGTGGCCGATCGCCATGTCCAGCTGCGACAGCGCCGCCGCAGTGTCGCCGCAGCTGTCGTAGTACTGCGCCAGCAGCACGCGCGCCCACATCAGCGTCGACGGGGGCTCCTTCTCGCAAGTGTCCGGGAAGGCGCCCGTCGCCTCCAGCGCGCCCACCCACCCCGCCACGACCTCGCCGAAGAGCACACGCGACCACGCGCCCTCGGCGCAGAGCGGCTTCAGGTCGGCGAACAGCGACGGCACGCCCTTGCGCACGTAGCTGCGCGCGTACGCGTCCAGGGCGGCGGCGAAGGCGGGCGGCGAGCGCGTGAAGTCGAGAGGCAGCCGCATGCACGCCTACCCTCTTCACACTCGGAGTCAAAACTCTCTGGAGGTGGACACACACTGGCGGCAGCCGCATGCACGCCTGGCTCTTCGGGTAGGCCTTTTGCAGCTTGCTGTACAGCGCGGCCAGCGTCGCCTCCGCCTCCGCCGTCACCTCCGCGCTCAGCCACCGCTCGGTCGGGGTCGCCGTCTGCAGCGTGGCCGCCTGAGGACGAGATCGCATCTCCTGTCCACTGGCAACGACCGCTCGGTCGGGGTCGCCGCTCTGCAGCGTGGCGGCCTGGTGGAGAGTCGAAATGGGGTGAGGAAGTCGACGATAGGAGAGGAGGCGATGGGACATCGTAGACGATATTGAGCGAGTGGTGGGAAGGGGCGTGATAAGGAGGGGCTCAAGCGAATCAGAGAGCGAGAAGATAGACTGCGCCAAGCTGCTCGCGACCAGGCTCAGGCGCAAGGGCGAGGAGGACCCCTCCTCCTCCTGCCAGCGGAGCCGCCGGGGAGGAGAGCACTACCTGGTGGGTGGACTAGTGGGTGGGCTGCCGCCTGCAGCCCCGCGTGCCACCCGAAGTGCTCCGGGTTGCGCTTCAGCAGCGCGAGGTACTCCTCGCCCGCCTCGCCGTGCCGGCCGACGGCGAGCAGCAGCGCGGCGCGCCGCTCGCGCCAGCCGGTGCGGTCCGCTACCTTCTCTTTGATTGCGTCGAGGTCGTCGAGCGCCTTGCGCGAGAGTCGGGCAGAGTTTGGGAGAGTTTGGGGAGAGTTTGGTCAGACTTTGGGGAGAGCTTGGGGAGAGGTGGGGAGAGGTGGGGAGAGCTGGGAAGATCTGGGGAGAGTTGGGCAGAGGT